GACTACACAATCCGCAAAGCCATCACTCCAGTCATGAAGAAGGATCCTCTTGTGGAGCCACTCAAAACCATCAACTTACCCTACATTGCAGGGGTCACTAAAAAGATCTCCAAAATCCTGAATAAACACAAGATCCAGGTCCGATTCAACACAGTACACAAAATCCGTGATTTAGTTCCATCTGTAAAAGATGCTCTTCCAGACATACAGTACCCGGGCGTTTACAAACTAAAGTGCCTCTGTGGTAGTAGCTATTTCTGTAGCAGTTACAAGCGAATCACTCAGCCATTTCAATGCTAAATTCTATGCTAATCCCATTGTCAAGGGGTGCCTCTGCAGATGTGTATGCCTTAACTTAGCTATTTCAATGCTAAATTCTATGCTAATTCCTTTTAACAATGGGTGCCTCTGCGGATGTGTATGCTTTAACTTTTAACATAGCTATTTCTGTGACCAGTCACAAGCTAATCATTCAGCCATTTCAATGCTAAATTTTATGCTAATTCCTTTGTCAAGGCTCTTTGTTCCTCTCACACAGCTTAAAAGCCGTGATCTGAACGTGGCTCTCTCACTCCAGCGCTGTCCTACCAGACAGTCTCGCCCCCTTCACCTGATGAAGGCCGCTTGTGTTGTGGCCGAAACGTCGTGAGAATATTATTGTGTTATTTTATTTTATCAATTTATTATTTTATTCTCATTCTACGTGACTTTACCGAAAGAACCAAAGAAGAAGAATAGCCATACTCTTTGGTTCTATTCGGTAAAGTCACGTAGGTAAAAAAATAAAACAACAAAAATCACGACGTTTCGGCCACCACACAAGCGGCCTTCATCAGGTGAAGGGACCAGCCTTTTTGTTTATTAATATATATTTATAATCTTGATTTGAAGCTTTCGTGACTGCAGGAATCCATACTCTTTGGTTCTTTCGGTAAAGTCACGTAGGTATAAAATAAAATGAATCACGACGTTTCGGGCGCAACACAAGCGTCCATCATCAGGTGGGAACGCATTGTCTGTTGTTGTATCCTCAAATGTTGTAACTCAATTTTAACCCATTTCCCAATGTGGTATCGACTGCAAACTTGGTATACTTAAGTCATACTGATGACAATACTATATTCTATCATTAAAAATTAAAAATATATTTTTTTACATTATTTTTTACATGTTATGTTTTGGCGTGGGTCTAATTGTCAACAGTCCCTTACGTTGTGGCAAGCTTCGGGGCCGCTTCCTGGAGTCGTGGAGTTCTTCCATTATTAGTACGGTACATTTCATAAAAGCGTGTTTTTAAAAAAAAGTTTTTCAAAAAGTTTTTTTAAAAATATTACTTTTTGTTAAATCGAATGTCAAGAGACGCCACTGCAGTCCTTAAAAGAGCCACCGCACGCCACTACGGAGCCGGAGGTTTCCGATCCCTGCCCATGGTGAATTGGACTTCCATGGTGAACTGAAATTCCATGGTGAATTGGATTCCATGGTAAATTGGACTTCCATGGCAAACTGCAATTCCATGGTGAACTGGACTTCAGATGGTGGATTGGACTTCTATGGTAAACTGCAATTCCATGGTGAACTGGACTTCAGATGGTGGATTGGACTTCCATGGTAAACTAGATTCCGTGGTAAACTGAAATTCCATGATAAACTGAACTTCAAGTTTTCAAGTTTCATTTATTAGGTATAGCCCTGTGAGCCATCCAGCTCTTGAGTCGGGTGCAACCGCAACAAACAAAATATGAGCAGAGAAACATCTTAAAGCGACGACGGGCAACAGAAACATCCTGGATAAACCAGCAAATCTTCCAGAAAAAAAACACCGTATTACAACGATGTGTGCAAAAATCCCAGTGTGATGCAAGTCAAACAATATCAACCGTAAGACAATTAAGATTCAAGTTATCAGGCCAACTCCGCACTTCCACAAGAAACATGGCTTAACCATATGTTTTAAAAAATCACCAAAATAAAGCTATAAAATACAATGTAACAACAGTAATCATAGGAACTTTGATTCAAATTTAACAATAAACGATACACATAACATGTACGAGCAAACTTGCAGCCATATCTGTCAGCATGACACTCCCCGTGTATGATGTGTGAGTGAGTCAATGGTAGTGAGTGTATGATGTGTGAGTCAGCGTGTATGATGTAAGTCAGTGGTAGTGTGAGTGAGTGTATGAGTGAATCATTGTATGATGAGTGAATGGGTCAGTGGTTGTGTGAGTGTATGATGTGTGAGTGAGTCAGCGTATGATGAGTGAGTCAGTGTATGATGTGTGAGTGAGTCAGTGTATGATGTGTGAGTGAGTCAGTGTAAGGTGAGTGAGTGTAGTACGCCAAAGGCGTACAACTCAAAAACAGCGCACTATCAGAGTATTGAGGGCTCGGGGTGAGCATTTACATTATGAGACCTCCTTTGCCAGTAACAAGATATAGTAATAGGTTTTACCCTTTTAATTGGCACAAAAAACTGACACCTTTATTCAAGGCATCATGTTTGCAATAACGACAACACAAGCAGTCTTCTGGTCCAACACCAGTGGAGACTAGGTTCTAAGAAAAGCTGTCTCGGGTGTGGACCAATCAAATTCAAAAACAGTGCATATTATTATCAGAGTTGTCTCTTGTTTGCATTTTGACTGCTTGTGTTGTGGTTATTGCAAACATGATGCCTTGAATAAAGGTGTCAGTTTTTTGTGCCAGTTAAAAGGGTAAAACCTAAATTTTGATTTAAAGCTTTCGTGACTGCAGTAATTCATATTCTTAGTTTTTTCGGTAAAGTCACGTTGAAGAGAAACAACAAAATAACAAAATATATATAAAACAATAAAAAATTCTCACGACGTTTCGATGATGACCGTTTGAGTTATGGTCGAAACGTCGTGAGAATTTTTTATTGTTTTATATATATTTTGTTATTTTGTTGTTTCTCTTCAACGTGACTTTACCGAAAAAACTAAGAATAGGGTAAAACCTATTACTATATGTTGTTACTGGCAAAGGAGGTCTCATAATGAGTGAGTGTATCACGGCCTCCTCCATGCTATCGTGGCCTCCTCCCCACCATCGCGGCCTCGCTCTCTCTTCTTTCTCTCTTCATGCTAGTCTAGCACCGGCAAAACTAAAGGAACACTTCCTAAAGCGAGCTTCAGCGCCTCTGTGTAGGTGGCCAGCGCCTCGTCCAGCCTCTTGAGGCCACACAGAGCGTTGGCCTCGTAGCGCAGCGTGGCCGCCCTGCTCTCGGCCGGGAAGGAAGGCCGGCTAGATAGACCCTGGGACTTCCCTGACCGCTGCTCTCTTGAGGGCCGGCAGGGTAAGCCGGTGGTGCGGCCCCAGAGCCTCAGAGCCGGAGCCCTTTTAAGGGTCGGTCTGGTTGGTGGGGTGTCCGTGACCCGTGCTTGACCAGGGCCAGGTCAGATAGCCTCCTCTAGCGCCTGTAGCTGGAGGAACTGAAAGCACGGGAATTAGGCTAGATAGCCTAGGAGGTGTCCCAGCGTGTGTACGGGTGAAGGGGCCTTTACCCCTTCCAGAGTGTAACCCTTGTTAAGCTTGAATAAACAGTGCTACCTCTATATTCTTGGTTCTTTCGGTAAAGTCACGTTGAAGGTAAACAATTTTATTGTTTTATATATTTTTACTATTTTATTGTTTCCCTTCAACGTGACTTTACCGAAAGAACCAAGAATATAGTGCTGCCTCTAATTCACCGTCTCCGTGTCCCGTGAACCCACTGCACTTGTGTTGCGCCCGAAACGTCGTGTTTCGTTCTATTTTATTTTCTCTACCTACGTGACTACCGAAAGAACCAAGAGTATGAGCAACAGGTGGCCGTGGACGACACGGCGCATCTGTGCGAGAAGGTCATCCTGGTGAGTGGCGACGGTGGTGAGCGTGTGAGTGGGTGAGAGTGCGAGGAGGTGACAGCGTGTGAGAGAATGAGGTCATCCTGGTGAGTGGTGAGCGTGTACGCGAGAATGAGCGAGTGTGTGAGAGACAGGGTGAGGATGAGCGTGTGTGTGAGGGCGAGTGAACGCGTGTGTGTGTGTGAGGGTGTGTGCTACTCGCTTGGCTCCACTTGCCTCAACGCCCCGCTCAAAGGCTACGCGTGTGCTGGGTGCGTTCTCGCTGGATCCCTTTTGCCCAGATGGAGAAGTTGCTGACGCTCTTCCCCCCCCCTCATTCCCTCCCCCACTCCCCCCCCCTCACTCCCCCCCCCCCCCCTCACTCCCTCCCCCACTCACCCCCCCCCTCACTCCCTCCCCCCCCTCACTCATCCCCCCCTTTTTTATTTTTTTTTGCATGGTGAACTGGACCACCATGGAATTTCAGTTTTCTGAAAATCCATGGTGAACTGGATTCCATGGTAAACTCAAATTCCATGGTAAACTGGACTTCCATGATAAACTGAAATTACATGGTAAACTGGATTCCATGGTAAACTGAAAATCCATGGTGAACTGGATTCCATGGTAAACTCAAATTCCATGGTAAACTGGACTCCCATGATAAACTGAAATTCCATGGTAAACTGAAATTCTATGGTACATTATATTCCATGGTAAACTGAAATTCCATGGTAAACTGGACTTCCATGGTAAACTGAAATTCCATGGTAAACTGGATTCCATGGTAAACTGAAATTCCATGGTAAACTGGACTTCCATGGTACATTATATTCCATGGTAAACTGAAAATCCATGGTGAACTGGATTCCATGGTAAACTCAAAT